TATATATATATATATAATCACTTTTCATGAGAAGCTCTAATGCCACATCCAAACTTTTATAACCACGATGCATGAAAACAATCACACGCGTAATTCTACCTTAAAAGCTTCCACTACTAGAATCATTGTAGGGGATCTTGTAAATAAGTTGAAATGAGAGATTTAGATGAGGATAGACTTTATTATATTCCATATTGGATAAAGGTAAAGATAATTAATGTAATACTCGTTTTAGTATATTTCATGTTTTTTTTCCTACATATTTTTCCTCAACCACATCCCTCCAATGGCTAAGCTATATCCCAAGGGACTGTGATTGAAGGGATATTAATCATAGAGTTCATGCATTTGCCTTTTGTGTTTTTGACATAGATCATGTCATTTTTTATGCTAACTTGGTGTAACTCTTAATTTAAGAAAGCATGAAAAATTCAATTACCAATATCATATTAAACTCAATCGAATAGATGTTCACTTATTATCGTTGAGTTAATTTCAAGGATAATTAAGCAATAAATAAATAAATAAGTATAACTCTCCTTACATTAATATTATTTATTCATTAATATTATTGTGATACTTTCATTTGGTTGATATTTCACAGCATGCCCTATTTTTGTGTTGCAACTTATGTAGAATTGGTTCTACTAAATACAAACTTTTAAAATTATAGTTTAATAATACATGAATATTAAAATGCATAAATTGAATTGCTCACATTCTAGCATGTCAAAAATTTTATTATTTCTCTCATACACACATTGTTTTGTGTTTAATTGTTATTATAATAATTATTATTATTTATTCGTTAATTCATTTACTACGATACTTATTTAAATCATTTATTATATTAATTGTTTTATTACTGATATTTAAACTTCTAATTTTATGTTTTCTTAAGGGCTTTTGGTTATGCTTTTGGTTATCAAGGTTTTCGGGCTTTTGGTTATCAAGGTTTTCAAAAAAAAAAAAATGGTATGCCTAATTTTGTTGCGCATTATGACATCTCATTTAACAAGGTAAATTATGCTTGTCAACTTAGCAACATTATCTCTCAAAAACCAGCGAATCAAACAGCTTGACCAATCAGGATTGTACTTCATTATCGAACGTTTGACCATTGAACTAGCCTTAGACTTAGCCTTTGCTTAACTAATATATCCCAACTTAGTTTGAACAATATATATATATATATATATTGTGTGTGTGTGTGATGAAGTAGAATATATATATATCTGTGTGTGTGTGCTGCAAGCCTTGAACTGTTGGTGGCAGGGTGACTGAAAGTCTCTCAAGTCAAGGGTTCGATCCCACCATGTTGAGGGGGCTCTAGAATTTTAGGCACATGACGTGGGCTCTCATCATGGGGCCAAAAAACGCATGGGAAATTAATATTTGGGTCTTTATTAAATATCAATTTCACACACACACACACACTTCATGAGAAGCTCTAATGCCACTCCTCCATACTTTTATAACCGCAAGGCATGAAAACTGCCTCACATTTAATTCTATCTTAAAAGCTTTCACTACTAGACTCAATGTAAAGGATCTTGTAAATAAGTTGAAATGAGAGATTTAGATAAGGACAAACTTTATTTATGAACGTAGGTAAAGATGATTAATGCAATACTCTTTTCAATATATTTCATGTTTTTTCCTACATATTTTTCCTCAACTACATCCTTCCAATGACCAATGTATATCCTAGTGGTCCATGACTAAAGGGGTATTAATCATATAGTTCACATATTTGCCTTGTGTACTTTTGACAGAGAACATGCCATCATTTATGCTAACTTGGTAGAACTCTTAACGTAAGAAAGCATGAGCTTCAATTACAAATATATATTAAACTCAATCGAATATATGTTCACTTATTATCATTAAGTTAATTTAAAGGATAATAAAACAATAAATAAATAAATTTTAAAACTAAAACCTATTTGGAACTTTAAAGTGGTCAACCTCTCTCTCTGTCTTACAAGAATTTAAAATTTTACGTATTTCTTATATTTATGAAATTACAATTGAAAGATAATAAATATGTTGTGATTATTCTTATACAAATAAGACTTGGTTTATTTAATTTATGGGGCTACTTAGGAGCGATATAATTAAATGAAACTTGATGGTCCATCCTATCAAGTGAAGTTGCAAGTCTCCCACTAAATTATCGTTCTTCTTCTTTTTTTCATTTATATGAATGATAATATATCACTTTTTATTAATTATCATGATTTCATCTCTTTTATAACATGTTCAACTTTCTCTTGCACTGGCTAAACTAGCAATTAAAAAATCCCTTCTCCGTACATCACTTTGAGGTGTAGGAAGAAAAGTGAGTCAATCGACTCAGCGTGCAACTTCAATTTATAGAATCCATTTTTTATGTGGTAGTCATTTGAAAAAAAAGATTATGCACTAATATGACAATAATTATCTTCCTTCCACATTTAACTAAACTTGAAGCTATATTAACACATCAATAAGCAAACATAAAGTAAGAACTGAACATGACCAACTAATTAACTTTCATTAAAATATATTCACTATATTTATTGGACAAAGAGAGATTTGCTAATTTTTCTAATTCTTCACCATATTTTTATTAGGTAGGTTGGCTCAATTGCAATGGTTTAACAATGAACTTCAATAAATTTTTACCACCTTAGAGAACTTATATATGTCAAATTGACCCAACCATAGTTTTCCATATTAAAGTGCATGACTATAAGAACCAATTATTATGTATTAGCCCACCTACTATCCTATTATCATAAGCCTAGCAATATAAATTTACTTATTATTGTGTTCACTTGTGTAAAGGGTTGTATTATATTAACCATATTATGAGCAAGTTCATAATTTTTTTTAATCATGATGTAAATATTATAAGACATGTTGTAATTGTCCACCTTCTCTTGATAAACAAAACATTGGGATGAATCATAACTCATGACATTACTTTACATAAATAATCAAAATTACATTATAATCAATATAATAGGTACCATAAACATACAACATGTAAACTTGTGTACATATTAGTCTATAAATCTATCATACCTTGGTATACTAGTCAAATTTAACTTAGGTTGTGGAGCATATGACAAACAAAACAATAAGAGAGCTCCATATGTCATATGAAATGGAATTTAATACTCTTGTTCTTATTGTTACTATTATTTTTATTATTATTCATATTTATGTGATGTTAATGACAACTCGATTCGCTTCATAGTTAGATAATAGCGATAATGCCAATCAATTTTTTTATGTCGGTAGTGACGCTGATGCTAAATATAAATTTTACATTTTTGATGATTAGGATCGTAAATGTACTGACAAATTAATAAAAGCATGGCTCACTGGAGCTTATTCATGCTGCTTTGTTTAACAGATGAACAAACTTGAACACCTTCATAAATATTTGATTATTAAATGAACAAACTTAAACAACTTGTTGCTTGATTCATTTATGCTTACAAACAAATATTGTTTAAATTAAGCTCGCAATTAAACTCGTGATAAAGCTCAATCAAGACTACATAAAATAGTTGATAAAAATTTGATTGAGGCTTATTTATGATCATTTGAATTTTGTATTTTTTTTTTCATATCAATAAAGTTGGCTCGTTAAACCTCATCTGATTAGTCTCAATAAGACTAGTTTCGATTTACAAATGAGTTGTTTGTTGAAAAATTTTTTATTTTAAAATGAGACAAACCCGAGCGAGGCCAAATCAAACCTGAACAAGTGTGGTTTTAAATATAACAACCTGAACGTATTTCACAAAAAAACTAGAACCAAGTTTGAGCCCATCATCAACACGTTTTCAATAAAAGAGCTCGAACTCAAACACCCTCTAGCTCGGCTAGGTTAACGGATTTGTCTGCAAACCTTTTGACGACAATAACTTGTTATATATTTTTTTTCATGAATATATAAATATGATAAAAATAAATAATTATTCATATCAAGCAAATGTTCATGAAATACATCACATCTTGTTAATGATACTTTTAATTTCACCAACTTTGGTTTCTAATCTCTTTGTAATGGTCCCGAAAACTAAAGATTATGATTCTATATAATAATAATAATAAAACTATTAAATTAAAATAAAATTTAAAATTTAACTATTAATACCCTCAATATCTTCCAATCCACCCAAGAAAAATAAGAGATACAATGAATAAAAAAAAAAAATTCACATTTTAAGCCAAACAAACAAATCAATTCAACATAATCCCTTTTTTTTTCATAGCAAAAATTTCTTCTATCTTTCTATACAATAAATCAAAACACATGACGCTATAATCACTCCACATATATCTCTTTTCTTTTTCTTTTTTGTCTGTATCATCTCTGTATTTACATTTTAACCCCATCCTCCTACACCCCCTCAAACACAATTAATCCGACCAACCATGCCCGGCGGCGGCCGCTCCGCCAACCTCCAAACCCTAACCGACCCATCTAAACTCCCACTATAAAGCAACCACCTTTTATCGCCAACTTCACCACCGCCCTCCACGTCCTCCTGTAGGGCCAAACACTTGACCGGTCCCGTGTGCCCCGTCAGCACCGCCACTCGCACGTGCTGCGCCCCCAACCCCTCCCTCCTCCACACGCGCACCGTCCTGTCCGACGAACCGCTCACC